CATAACACTGTGAGACTTTATGAAAACAAATTTTACCCATAATAGAGTTATACTCTACCACAGTGCACACGTTTTATTCTTATATCAATGATACAAACTTAGTAAGTTGCAAAATTCGTATTTCTCATTATTATTATTATATTATTATTATTTGACAATCACTCACCAACAGTGCTTTTAAGTTTATAATATACCATCGTTATTATTTTACAGTCACCACTATTGTAATCATTTTCAACCTTGAACTTATGTCTAGTCAGCGCAATTCGTTGGTTTCTGTTCATATGGTCTCACACACCCTGATTACACTCACTCTCGAAACCTATTGACACACATGCTACTTACTTACTTTACTTCGGCTATCTCCTACGGGAGGATGAGCCGGCTTCATGAACCATGAAGTTTCATGGGAATTGGGTACGAGTGATGTCCCCAGCATCGCTAGGGAAGACCCATCGATCTCTGCGAGTAAGGGCTTCAGAGCATACGCCTAAATGGCTCCAGAAACAAGTAGAATCTTCAGAATCCATTAATGGTGAGAACAGAAGACCTGGCTCCTCTACTGAGAAAAACATTATACAAACAAGACATGAAATTGACGTTAACAGATCTTTTATACCTATCTATAAAACGTGTTTGAGGCATATCCTAAAGTTTGTGGAAGCCCTAGCTAGGAATTAGAAAGATTAAATCACCTTTATGCGATCAAGGCAACAATTCGTCATCACACTAAACCGCCTTCCTTGGTAAACTTTGTTTTGATACCATAGCAGATGTACTATTACCTATGCTATTTGGTTTAGTGATTGATCTTCATTGTTATTTTGACCTTGAATTTGTCCTTTTAACTTGACCTAAGTCTATCCAGTTCACACTAGAGAAGGAGTCTAACGCAATAATATCTTTTCTGGACGTGCAACTAGCAAGACGCGAACAAGATGGGACACTCAAAAGATCCATTCACAGAAAACCGACATGGAATGGACAACTCATCAGCTTTCACAGTTGGGTGCCTATATATACAAAACGAAATCTGATCCGCTCACTGACTCACAGAATCCACAACATTTGCAGTCCGGAAACTATAGAAAAAGAGCTGAAGACCCTGAAAAGAATCCTTGAAAACGGTTACCCGGAACGTTTCATCACAAAAGCTATGAAGCCCAAAACACAAAAACCATCCATGCTTACTGCTCCCAAGAAACTTCTCTATTTGAATCTACAATTCAACGGAGATTCTTCAGCAGAAATACTGAGAAACCACCTATGCCGTTCACTGAAGAAAACCTTCTTCGCAGCAGAACTCAGACTAACTTTCTCTACGAAACCAATGATTCGCACGAAGGTGAAGGATAAGCTTCCACTGGGGACCTCATCAATGTGCATCTACCAATTCACCTGCTCATGTGGAGCTAGGTATGTCGGCCGTACCCAGCGTTTGCTATCCAAACGCATCAGCGAACACTTACCTTCATGGTTTTATAAAGGAGAAAGATACCCCCCCCCAGCCACAGCTCTATCCTTAAACACTTGATCGAATCCGGACACCAAGCAAACCCACAAAACAACTTCTCAGTTATCTACACAATACGTGAGAATCTTGCCAAAAGAGTACGAATTAAACTTCTTCAAACTGAAGAAGCAATGGCAATTCACATATTGAATCCTGAACTCTGCATACAAAAGAAGTTTGTTCAGTCATTAAATCTACAATGGTCCTGATCTATCTTAACACCAAATACGTAATTTTGTCTTACCTCTTTCTTCTTTGTTTGTCTATTTCTTAATTGCATTATTTTCTATCCCCACCCACTATTGAATCTCTACGCTCATGACGACTGTTGCTAACTCGACTTTCGTTTATTTTTTAAGTGAATTCTACTCAGCTTATTAACTTGACTCTCATTCAATTTTTCATTGAACCCTATCAATTAGATTACGTCATCCAACCTACTTTTGTAACTTTATTTTAGTTTCTAACCGATTAAAGCCTTCAAAATTACGTAATTTGTTTGTCAAAAACTAACAGTTGCATTAACACATCTTTGGAAATATTCCTTTTGTTGCCAAGACAAATTACTATAAATTTGCGATTTGTACAGCTTGAGAATGATATCGCCGAAAAGAGTAACTCTTTGCTGAACACCTTTTCTTTTCTATGACTGAATGGGGATTTTAAAGTTACTAAGTCTAGTTTGTCACATACTAACTCTATTAATTTCATATATATTCCTATGACAAGTCTGTGTGTTATTAGATTGTTCGAAATTTTTTACACAGATACACAATACACGATTCCGATAAATTGCGTCTGCTTATTGCTTTATCTAAATTCATTAAGGGAACAAGTTGTTTTAAGGTGCATTTTAAACTATCATTAAATTAAATTACTGAATCTCATTTTGTCTCATATTCTCATTGACCATGCATATTAAAAAACTAACTGACTATTGTTTCATCCCATCTTATATTTGTTCCACATCTTATACTTGTACAGCCTGAAGAGGAGTTTATTCTAAGCACAAATAGTCGCTCTAACTATTTTGTTCTGAATAAATTATGGGAATATTCAAGTTACATCGAATTGTGTCTGTTTAGTTTGAATGCAGTTATGGAATCAAATGCATAAATTGTACAAAAAAAGGCTACTGTCTACTCAGTGAAATGTAGCATTCGATCAAACGGTTGATTACAGCTGAAGGAAAGACACCCAAAAGTTCAATAACACGGCAACTCCAAGACACTGTCAGGTTGTTCACTGTTATTAATAGATAAAAAGCCAGAAAGGTACTTGGAATTGTAAAGGCCTGTGCACAACACTAAGTAAAGGTGGTCACTTTGAACCTACCATGACAATTACTTTCGGATGGCTAATTATTATTATTATTATTATCGTTCCTATTGTAATGCATTTTGCAATTTTTAATATTTTCATGTTCTCCCTCTGGTAACAAACTGTTTATTATGCTAACATAACTGAACTGTTATTCATAATAAACTTACTTTTCAATCTCTGGTACACTTCCACCCCCCCCCCTTTACATTTGTGACCTTGAACTTTTAGAAGGTTTCACCTCTTGTCTTGTTATAATTGACTCACCGTGGTTTATTTGTTAGTCGCACAGTTATTACCAGACACCTTGTGGATACGCGTCATCTCGTCGAGATTTCCAAATCTTTCAAAATATTAAACACGCAAAGGGCAGCTATTCTACTACGATTTGCTGAAGCAATTACAGCAATCAAACGTCTCAGACCACACTTATGCACACAGAAAGACAGTGTAGTCAATTTCTTACTCCCTTGATAACCGTATTACTTCCATTACATTGACTAGTCATACACACTTGTGAGCTCAGCTCACTAAGCAAGTTTTCAATTTGATGAACTTTAACCTTCTTAAGTTGACATGTTAACGTGCAAGCTTACACTGTTTATTAGATTTTCCTATTTTCTGTCTTCTCTCATCCTCCTCCCTTTTATTCATAGTTTGATGGCATATAAATTGATAGTGACTTAAACTATAAATTGTAATACTTATATTCCGGATGCATTCATCCTATATTGTTTTCTCTATTACCTTTCAAACATTGAAGTATGCAATGTTATTATTGATAACCACTGTAATTTTAGGTAGTTTGCAGCTGATGAGGACCTGTGAAATAGGATGATATCATTTTATACTGCAAATCTGGTCTTTCTCTGTGAAATATATATATATATATATTAATTCCTCAATGTTCCCAGTGGAACATAGGGCCTAAGGCTAGAGCTTTCAAGTCTATGTAACAATATTTTATGGGATAGGGTTGCAGGCTCTATGCCCAACATTCCCTCCTCACCAGTTTCGCTACTCGTTTAGAGAGGTAAAGCAGTGCGTCTATGACCAGGGATTGAAGCTCGGACAAGATGCGTGGTTGGTGAACATTCTGCTGCTGTGCCGCCGACGCACTTTGAATATATGCATGTACATGTATAACACCAGAGAAATTTAGCTGAGCAGTTCCACCGAAATTTGATGAATTCATCAAATCCCGCTCAACCAAAAAGCTAATAAATGAAAATAAATCTTCCCTACTTCGATTATCATTAACAGCTTCTACTCTCTTGTTGGTCTATACCAACTAGTTTAGTTTAATTACCAACTCCAATATTTGGATTTTTATGATCCATTAATTATTCCCATCTCCTACTTCATTTACGTTCATCTTAGAGATAACACTCGAGATATCTACCAGAATGCCATGAACTATACAGTTTGACAGGGTCAGTTAAACAAGGTGGAATACTCCGTCGTACAACCAAATACACTACCTCTGAGCTACTCTGATTGAAATTGATCTCTTTTAGGGATGTAATGTATACATTAATTAGTCGCTAGGGTGTCATGAATGTTGCTATGCGTCTAGCCCTTGTTGCTGAAGTGTGCTAGCGAACACCAAACCTAGCTTCAGGTCTTCTCTCCAATGACCTCTAACATTCCAAGATGGATTCAAGGTGGACCGTGATAGCTGGTTACCTAACTTGATGTGACTGTTAACTACCATCATCCCAGACATGTCTTTAAATTTCCTGATACGCATTCAAAATTTGGAAAGAAAACTATTAACTTCATGTAGTATTTTTAGTACATATGCAATAATAATAATAATAACAATTACATGTAAATATATACGTTTCAATTCAAAATAAAGAGAAACCAACCAAAGCAACGGTATCGATTTGCTTTTGTTTGAGCAGTAATTCAAAAATCAGCCAACCGTCAAAGTGAAGAGTTAGCAAATCTAGTGTTACATAGTTCACGTGTGAGACATTCAGCGATTATAAATACATTTTTGTACTTTGATTAATCACAAAACCCTATGACGTGGGGAGAATAAGCATAACAACAAGTAATTTCTTCTTTGAGGAGTGAATAATTTCCATTCTCCTTTTTTTGACGATAATTTCAGTTAACACAGAGAGAGTAACGAGATTGTCATGTGCCGAATGCTGATTACTCACTCTGCTACAATCACTTCAGTCCGTTGAATACACTGTGATCCGAATAAATTGAGAATAGCTACTTGAAATGCAAAGACAATACCAAGTGTACACGTGAAAGAGGAATACTGACGATCCATCTGGGTAGAGTAGATCAAGATAGCAGAGAATATGCTGACTAGACCAATGATCAAGGATACCAGTCGAGTTGTAGCATATGTTGGATTATAGTCTAACGATGATGAACACACAGTGATTGCATCAAGCACAAAGGCTAACATTAAAAAGCCTGAACCAATACAAAATAATAATATCAACAGAGTGGAAATACTTTGATAATGTTTCAAGCATGAAGTAAATAATCCACCACAATACCATTGATCTAATGATAACGCTGAGATGATAAATGCCAGGCTAAAGGAGTGTAGAATCAATGACAGTGTTTTAGTATGCATTCTTCTTCAGGTGTATGTGACAATATTCATTAAAATCAACCTGTCATAAATCTGTATAATTCGACTCTATTGCTTTATTCACCAGCCAATTCTTTGTGTACATTCAGTAAGGTTACTTTCTCCAGACAGAAAACGTAATAACTGAAGTGTATAGTTGAACGAGTGGTGAAAAAAATACCTAACTGACCTTGAATGTGTCTTCTTTGTCACTGTGATTGGACAAAAAGTGAGAATTAAAAGCCTATTGGATGACTAGATTTTATACAGTTGACATGTCAATGCATACAAATACGGAGTAGAAAGTTCTTATTTGTTGATGTTAGTGTCTTACTTCATAACGTGTCTGTCGCTCTATGATATAGTCTATTTATTGTTATTATTATTATTTGGCATGACAATAAGTATTCAGAACATAGACATTACGATTTCCCTAGTATAATTTGAGCGACGAATTACTGTTATTACTGTAAATCCAGTATGCTCAGAAAATCAAAACTAGATTTTTTTTTGAATGTTTCTCTGTGTAATCCACAGCTCCTCAAGCAGCAGAATTATTCGGAATTTATTAACCATCATAACGTCATAACGTATATAGTACGTAAAGTGAACGCCCTTGAAGGTCACTTATCGGCAGATATTTGTACTAATAGAAGAGTGTAAACAGTCATCACATATGTGTAATCAATTAATGTGAAACTGTTATATGTGCACATTTGTCTGTATTTGTGTACGTGTATGTTGTTTTGTTGTATAGATAACACTAAAGTTCAATACGTGAAAGTCATCCATTTTCCAAAGGTCAAAACATAGGACTGAATAAATTTTTTGTGTTTTTCTTTATAACAGTCTGCCATCAGTGGGTCGGTGGCATAGCGGTTAGGACGCTCGCCGACTATACACACGGTCCAAGGTTCGATCCCCGGTCACCGACGCACTCCTTTACCTCACGAAGCCAGAAATAATGCTGGTAAAGAGGAAAGGTTGTGCATAAGGCTAGCAACCCCATCCTGTAAAAAATAAACACTGCCACAGAAACTTCAAGTCACTAGCTTGAAGCCCTATGTTCCACTGAGGAACGTGAAGGAAAAAAAACAGTCTGCCATATGTGTCGGACAAGTCTATTCCTTCTGTCATATTGAATGCATTCGATACAGATAAGGTATTTCTCAAAGTGAATGCAAGTCTGTTCGTAATATTTCGACGTAATCAAAACCGAGCTTATGTCCACTGTCTATAGCATGCCTTGGTATAGCCTATCTTTCTCCTAATCTCTCTAATTCTACCTCATTTTTTAGGTGGATGCTTCGTGCAGAGTTTGTGTTCCTTTACTCTAAACTTAACCACTCTACCACCTCCCACCATGTAGTAAGTCTCATATTCTGAAAACTTTATCACATAAACCTAGCTTGATGGTCATATTATAAACTTAGCTGATAGAATACAGTCTGCACCTAAGATACAACTAGACACACTACACTGGTTATTGACTAGTGTCAGATCAAAAATATCCGATACAGTACTTCAGGAGATCAGACGCCATTCTGAATAGCTCAGTGCTAAAGTCAGAGACTTTGGCACTGGGTGACACGGATTCGAATCTCAAAAGGGACACGAGTTCCTTCAAGTTGGTTGCAGATACGCCTCGCTGACTGACTGGTGAGTGACGACTAGCACGAAATCTAGGTCAAGCAAGAATTCCTGCCGACTGCCTCCAACCATCCAATACAGATGTTTCATGTCAACTAAGAAAATATATCTTTAACAGTTAATTAAAAAATTTTTCTAAAAAATTAGAGGACTTGAAATAGACTTCAACAGTGTAAGAAGCAAGTACTCTTTGAAGTTGTCCAGCCGTGGTCTTTCCATACATAGAATTTCTGTCGTCGACACCCAAGGTGTTTCAATCTTCTTTTTCTTTTTGCCCTTTCTATTGATAATGTTATTTAGAAGCTTTTCTGACAAACACTTCCAGTCAAAATCTGTTTTATATTGGTGATCTGGATATCTGTATTATCGTTATCTGTTGTACTGTTTCTAAAGCTACTGAAACTATCATTCTTATTGAAAGATCATATTGGAAATTCAGATATGTATTTGAATGTTTTGGTTTCCTGTATATTGCAAATTTTTAGTTTTACGTCAGTTTGACTTTTTTACAAGACAATCCAGAAAGTTTATAGTTCCCTCTATACGATTCAACTTCATTTGTAAATTTTATATATTTTGAAATTGAGGTAATTCTTTCTAGAAAGTTTCCTTTTTCAGCTTTCTCAGAAATGATAAATGTGTCATCTACATATCTGTACCATATTCTACTATGACCAATGATCTTCCTGATTGCAGTTGATTGGATAATGCGACAGACAACGGGTAATGAGTAAACAGGCATAAAATGGACTCACACAAAAAAGAACCTGGAGGATCTGGAATTCCCCGATGATATATGTTTGATCCCACACAAACTAGAAGATATGCAAGTGAAAAGCAACAAGCTGGCAGAAGAAGCATCAAAGATAGGACTTGAGGTGAACATAGATAAAACAGAGGTGATGAAGATTCCTGGCCAACACCAACAGCAACAGCAACAACAGACAGCAATCAGCCAGCATAAATGGGAGGAACCTGTAAGAAACAGCCTCCTTTACCTACCTGAAAAGTATCGTTTCAACTACAGGCGGAACTGACGAGGATATCAAAGCGAGGATCATCGGGAAAGAAAGACAATCTTTCATCACTCTCAACTCTGTGTGGAGGTATACAGCACTCGCCATCAAAAATAGCCTCCGGATTTTCAACTCCAATGTAAAGTCAGTGCTTCTATACGGATCAGAGACTTGGCTAGTCATAAAGAGCATCTCAAACAAACTTCAGACCTTCTTCAACAGTTGTCTCCGCTCAATACTCAAGATCAGATGGCCAGAAAAGATCAGCAACAGGGATCTCTGGTAATGAGCGAACCGACCTGGCAGGAACCGATTGTGAAACAAATATGCAGGAAGAAATGGAGATGGATTGGCCATACACTGAGGAAACCATCAAGTGACATCACTAGACAAGCCATTGCTTGAGTGGAACCTGAAAGGGTCGTCCAAAGGTGACTTGGAGGAGGTCATGTGAGGAGGAGATGAAAGCATGTGGACAGACTTGGAGTGGGGTGAAAAGGTTGGCAGAAAACAGAAGGCAATGGAGGTGCACAGCTGAAGCCCTATGTTCCTCTTGGAACTAAAGGATATAATAATAATATAATAATTCTACGATGACAAATAAAACTTATCACTGCTTTTCATCTTACGCCATTCATATAAAGATTTGCTACAATTGGAGATTCTGGTGATGCCATTGCAACTTCATTTTTCTGACAGCGTAGTTTGTCATTCAAGGTGAAAAAGAGTAGTTTTTAAATTAAGTTTTACTCATTTGATAATGTCTTCTGTAGATAATGAGATTCGGTGGCTGAGGGGTAGAATGTTTACCAGCCTAGCATGTGGTCTTGGGTGAACATCTACCTTTCCGATATAATTCATAAACTTCATCACCATGTTTGACGGTTAATACGATTTTAACATAACATAACAATTTCGCTTTATTCCAGAAACAGTACTTGTGGTACAGTGTGGAATTTTCAGCACATATCTACAATATTGCATCTAATTTCATCGTACATTTAAGAGGAGTATTACAAAAAAATAAAATATATAAAAAAACACAATAAAAAACCAAAAAAAAACACAGAAATAACAAAAAAAGAAAAGAAAAAAATGCAAATAAAAATACCAAGTAGAAAGGAAGATAAACACAAATAATGAAAAAATATTTCAGTATTGGTTAGTGGAAGCTATGATATGTGTATGCGTGGTGGACAGTAACAGCTATAATCATACAAGAAATTATGAGATGTTCTTAAGAATAGCCAAGATGATCAGTTAATTTGATTGAACAACACTAAACAATCATAAAATAAACATTTCAGGTTGTGTTTTTTTATTGTCAGCACTAATGCGGGGTTTGTAGTGGTAGTGTGAGGAATCATGCATAATACAAAATTTTTAAGATGGTGATAGTGGCGTTCACAAACAAGATTGTCAGTTTTAATATTGCCGAACACAAAACAACCACAAAACTAATATTACATGAAGGTTATTGGCAGGACAATTTTGTGATACTCATAGTGATAATATAGTCGGAGCCAAAAGATACACAAAAGAAGGAATAGAGTAAAGTACAAAAAAGTAAGCCAATGATAATAATATTAAGTAGCTAAGTATGTATAAGAAGGTTGTTCACTATAGAGTACAAATAAGAGAGTATAAGAGGAAATAACAAGGGCCAAAATTATGTTATTAACAACAAAGCAAGTCATAAGTTTCACGCTTAACATTGTCCCTGTCACTTAGAACACGGGCCAAATATGGTATCGTTGAGTTCCTATACTTGGTTGTACGAGCATATATTATTTTGTACTGATTTCTGGTTCTACCTGATGAGATGCAGGGAGAGAGTTGGGAATAGAGGGGGTGTTGGGGGTCAGAGAGTATGGTTTTAGTCCATTTCTCGCATGTATTTAGATGCTTATTCACTAATGTAGTGACGAGCTGACTGAGTTTTACACCGCTAGTCCTACTAACTACCTTCGACATCCTTCTCAGGATGGTATAGTCCTTTTTCAGTAACCCAGGAAAGACTAATGGGGAGCAGTAAAGTAGAATAGGTAGGATACGAGAGTTTCTTGAAAATCCCCATTTAGTCATATGAAAAAGAGAAGACGTTCAGCGAAGAGACTCTTTTCGGCGAATTCATTCACATAGCTGTACAATCGCATTTATATATAATTATTTGAGTGTGTGTGTGTGTGTGAACGTGAGGTTTGTCAAAATTAGATAATTGATCAGGTAATAAAAGAATGATCTAATATAGAAACAAGGTTAATTGGACAGCAACTAAAGTAAGATTGAGTTAGTAAGTTAGATGACGTAATACAATTGACTAAAATGTTTTAACTT